CACCTGCCAAACTCATGTGACAGGAAGTGAGACTAAAGATGTYAGAAATGTATGGTAAATTTGTTTATTCAGCTACCCATAAACTGAATAGCTTATACAGAAGCTGCAGAAGCACAGTTACAAGATGTTTTGGAAACAGAGCCTTAATAAAATGAGAGAGGCTTGGAGATGAGTTTGGGGAGAGGGTTCATGAAAAATGTCAGCGTGAAAGACAGGAACAGGGATGCCAGGGAAGACAGAAAGCCACAGTGCCATAGCAATCTTGGCCTGACAGATTTATTGAGTGTATTGTGGTATTGCTGAGAGGCTTCCAGCAGTGAACAGTGCCATACTGTACAAGCTACTGTACAGACATGCAGTTGACAGCCAATACCTGCCCTAAAGAGACCAGAATTACAGGAATGACAAGATGCAAGAGGCAGATGAAGCAATGGAGGACGCAATGATCCCCGCCCACTGCACCTCACTCAGGTCTTGAACAAGGGTAAATGGAARCTGTAAATGAAGATACTTTCACATGAGAAGCATTTTTCTTTAATCAGAGAAGAATTTTGATAAATTTCACTACTCACCATGAGCAAGCATCCAGCAAAAACAGTAAATCCCTTTGCATGAAGGCATTTTGCCAAGGCATGTCCAAAACCTTTGTCACAGCCTGTTATTAGCACCGCCTTCCCTTCAGCCTGTGTGGGGAAAGACAATAGGATACCATCAGACATTGCAATGTAGGCACCACCAGCACCCTGCCCCATAGAACAGCCCTCCAGGGCCAGCCACTGTTTAGGAAGTAGAGTTCCAGATGGAAGTGACAGTGGCAGCTGTCTGCACAAACACAATCCGCTCCCAACTACAGTGAAATCCTCAGTTTTTCCAGTTGCTGGTCTGTAACCACTTGTGTTGCCTTGATACCTGATCTGGAACAGTAACTTTCTTTCAAGTATCAATGGCCAAAGCAGAAGCAAAACACCTCAAAAGAARTTAATGATCTACCAGTTTATAGTCATTATAAGAAAAAGCAACATTATAAGAAAAATCAGTATTATAAGAAAACATCCAAATGGCAGGATGTCACTGCCTTGAACTGTACRGCAGCTCTTTTAGCTGCTGAGTGAMTACTGTCTGTTCCCCACCTACTCCCACTCTATGCGGCACTTTCCAYGCTGTATTTTAGCACGCAGGAATATGACTACAGCTTAGAGCTTCATTCTGAAACGATATAGTCTTAAGAGAAGCAACTTATCAAATCCTACAGTTCTCTCCTACATTATTATTATCTTTTGACTGATGGATAAATTGAGAAAGATTTTATACTCCATCTGGTATGACACAACAGGCTTGAGATAGATCTGAAAGTAGAATCTCAGATCCTGAAGCCTCTAGCAAAGCACTGTCCATTGACTCTGTCTTTGCTTGAAAGTCATCTCCTGACCACAGGTGCAAAGCAATGAACTAACACTTAACCCAGCTGGAAAGGCTGCTGTGCTGCACACCACTCCAAACTGAAACCATATCCATTAGGCAATAACRTGATAAAGCAATAAAAATCTAGAGGATGCAATAAGGAAGTGAGGTAAATTCCATCTCTTCGGAGATATCTGCTACTAATATTTCTTGTTACTGTATTCACAACTGCTGGAATATGAACATACTTATGTATGAATTGCACTGCCTGGTCCAGTCACATTTTCAGAGAGAAATGGGTCAATCATCAGTGCTCTCTCATCTCTTGCTTTGCTGATACATGGAGTAGTGAAGCTGCAATAAGGGATGATTGCAGGGTGATAGTGATCAGAGCATTACTGCACAAACTCAGGGCGAGCCTCAGCAGAAAACAATAAGCAAATAAACCTATAACCCTGTCCTATAACTCATGTTGAACTAACTGCTCTCAAAGGGGAATTATGATTCGAAGCTGAAACAAGACCTGATCAAAAGTCTATCCTGCATTCATTATACAAACACCCACATTAACATTATACTATAACCTATACTCAGACAAAGAGCACGCAGGTACAGTCTAGCTCCATTAAAGCTCTAAAGATAGCTACAACTAAAGGACAAAAAATAAGTGAGAATCAAATATATAGTGCTCAGTCTGAATTTAATTTAGACTGACACAGCTCCAAGAGAGATGAAAATCAAACATGACCCAGATCACAGAAGTTGTCAAGGTCACCTCCCACAATAACGCAACAAGCTGGCCCATGGAAAAAGAAAGGATTTGACTTTTTTTCTCTGCCCCACCTCCCTAGACCCTTTGCCTCTGAATCCTGAAGGCAGAGGACTTCCCAAAAGAGCAGGAAGTGTGCAGGAAATAAGGAGCTATAATCACTTCTAGAACACAGGACAAAGAAGAGACCCAATCCTCAACCATCAATAGCTCCTTAAAAAAAAAAATTTGAAAATCCCCTAATGACCAAAATATAGTCAGAAATGAGGATGTTTAAAAATCCTTTCGTCTGCCTATAACAGCAAGGAAAGTCAGGGAGAACTTACAGTATGAAAAGGTTCCTGTGATTATTTGTTATTTGCTATGACCCTAATTGCTGGTAATAAAACACATGACTATAGCAATATGGYTTATAACAGATTGACTCCCCAGCAGCACCAATGAATGCAAAACCCCAAGGGCTGWACTGGATCTCACATCTGTACCTGTGCCTGCTTGTGCCATGCTTGACGGACAGAGAGCTCCTAGGGATGACAGCAAGGATCAACCCCATCCCCAGCCAAAGGGATCCTATCCCAGAAAAACTTCTTAACACAGAAAAGCCCAATCACCCTTATCTTTAGAAAGCCCAGAGATAAGGCTTAATRGGCCTTTTCCTGGAGTTTGATAAGGCTAGTCTGCAGCTTAATTTGACTGAGTGCTGGGACCAGCAGAGAGAATCAGTTATTAGCACAGTGACCTTAATGAGCGTTCYAAGGAACTTCAGCTGCTTCCCTTACCCAGGGTCCTACAGTGTTCCCAAGAAACACTGCATGGGAGAGAGCACTCCTGTATAGTGCTGACAGGGTGCCTGGAACAGGGTGCCTGGGACCTGCTAAGAGCACAGGAAAGCACCTTGTGCACCAGAGGTGTGCTGTGGCATGTGGGTAGAGTGATACCATCTACGCTTGCTATGTGATCCTCAACACTGTAATAATACACATTGCTCACAGTTCAGACAGCCCTAGTAGGGCAGCTTCATTTTAACCTGCAGTCAGCTCAATTTAACCGGCACACAGCTTTTCCTACTGAGATACGACCAGTTTAATGAACAATAGAATTTACTTTACTAACACTTTATGAGAATTATACACTTTAACTGCAGAACAAACTGAAGAAATTGAAGCCACTTTATGAGCCTGTCTCTAGACAATGTGGGAATACACCATTGTTACCTAGACTTTTTCTAATGTGCCATTTTTTTTATCCTGTTCCCTTTTATGCTCTCCATTGACCATCCCTTCATGTTTTCAAACAGATTGATTTTAAGATAAGTGCAGCAACAAAGTAAACTTGGCTTGTTCCTTTTTCCAGGGTTGGGAAAGTTGGTTTTCAATCCCAGGAAAAGTAACTGAAAGTGTTCACTAAAGGGAAGGCATTTTCTCCAGTTGAACGGGGATGGGGAAAGTAAGAGAAGCASAGTGGATGGAAGAGTGAAGTGGGAGGCTGCAATCAGGCTACAACTGTTATCTGACCATTCCAGGGGGACAGGACTGAGCTGGAGGTCTTGAAGCAAAAACATTGGCTCAGAGAGCCGGTCACGTCCTGGGCTGCATCCAAAGCAGCATGGACAGCATGTCAAGGGCGGTGACTCTGGAGACACCCCACCTGCAGTGCTGCATCCAACTCTGGGGCCCCAGCACAGCAAGGACACGAAACTTATTGGAGTCAGTCCAGAGGAGACTACCAAGATGATCAGAGGGATGGAACACCTCTCCTATGAGACAAGGCTCAGAATTCGCACTGTTCAGCCTGGAAAAGAAAAGGCTTTGGGGTGACCTAATTGTGGCCTTCCACTACCTGAGGGTAGACTGTTTACAAGAGCATGTAGTGATAGGACAAGGGGGAACAGGTTCAAATTGAAAGTAGCTTTAGATTAGATATTAAGTAAAAAAATCTTAACTGAGAGGRTGGTGCAGCACTGGGGCAGGTTGCCCGGAGAAGCTGTGGATGCCCTATCCCTGAAGTGTTCAAGGTCAGGGTGGACAGRGCTCTGAGCAACCCGGTCYAGTGCAAGGTGTCCCTGCACAAGGGGTTGGAACTGGATGATCTTTAAGATCCCTTCCAACCCAAGTCATTCTATGATTATATGAACATGTTCCCCTCCAAGTGAAGCACTGYGGGGGGAGCAGGGGAGCAGCCGCCGCACCGCGGGGTCTGAGGGCAGCGCCCACCGCACCGCACCGCGGCCCGGCCGAGCCCCGCGGCGGGGGCCTCATCGTCCCGGGCCGTGCCCAGCTCCGCGCTTCGCCCCCCTCACAAGCGTCTCTCCGGCTCCACCAGCCCAGCCTGGCCCGGGCAGCGCCCCTTCGGCCTCGACACCTGCAGCGCCTCAKGCGGGCCCGGCGCCATTTTGGGCCCGGGGGCGCCTCCCGGGCTCTGCCGGCGAGCCCCGGCCCCTCGCCGCGGTACTCACGGGCAGGGCGCGGCGGGCTCGCCGCGGCAGGAGGAGGAGGAGGCGGAGGAGCAGCACCCCCGCGGCGCCCAGCGCCAGCAGCAGCCCCGCGCCGCTCCGCGCCCGGCACCGCGGCCCCGGCCCAGCCTCATTCAAACGGCAGCAGCGCCCGGCACCCGCCGGCTCCAGGTAAACGCGCGGGTGGCCGTGGGGCGGGCCGGGCCGGGGAGGGTCGCGGCGGCCCCGGCGGAGCTCTGGCAGCCGGGTTCTGCTGTGACCTTGCCCGCGGCGGGCGGGGGGCGCGGGCATCTCCTGTGCGCGGCCTCCGCCCGCAGCCTGGGCAGCCGGGCCGCGCCCCCCGCCGTCTCGGCCGGGCCCTGAGCGCCTTTGGGGCCACGGCAGCCGCGTCCCGGAGAGGGGATGGGCCGGGCCGGGCCGCAGGGACCCACAGCGGACCCCGCGCCTCGCCCCCTCCCTGCAAACCTCACAAAAACCTGCGGGGACACCAACCCTGCTCCCCAGTTTGATCAAACCACCAGGATTTCTGAGGATTAGCCGARCCAGCGAGCCTCCCGAGCCCTGTCCGCTCCATCCCTCCCCAGCTGGCTGCCCACCGCTGCTTTTTCTGCGGTAATTTTACTGTTTTTCAGCCCGGGCCTGGTTCCCAGCAGGCCCCGGAGCTGCCGCGGCAGGGGCCCAGCCTTCGGCAGAGATGCAAACCACCCCTAACAATTAGATGCCGTTTCTCARCTTCAATAAAGGGAGCTGGGAGATGTTTTTTGTGCCTTGGGTCAGTTTTATCCAAGGTAGATGTGATTGAAGTTGACTTTCCATACCTAAGTCTTGTTCCTGAGTCTGTTTTCACCCTGTAGTGGGTTTTTTGGTGGTTCCCTCTGCTTAGTCCAACATAATCAGCTACTTAATAACAAAAAAAAAATGTATTTTTAACTGCGTGGCTGTATTAGCTGTAAAGCCCAGGTTTGTTTTGGAAACATGTAAAATAACGTCACCTATGACTTGAATTTTATTTTAGTTAAAAATTATTTCATATACCTCACTTGAAATAATATATTCCATATAAATACCTTAATTTTTACCTGTTTCAGAGAAATCAGTTAAAGATGCATTAAAGGAGAAATTGACATTTTCTTCAAATGCCTCCTTGCTTGGTAGTTTTCTCATAATGCTTTTCCTTATTTAAAAGCATCTTGAGGTGGTTGAAAGTTAAGCTGTTTATCTCAGTGTGAGGGACTGCAAGGGGAAAAGATGAGTTCCTTTGGACTTCAATTTCTTGTTGAAGTACATGGAGTCAGCATGTCTTACAAAATAGTTGAGCAACTTAAATAGAGGTGCTGTCTTGTGTTGCAGAGCTAAGGAAGAACAGCCTTGCTGTTGGTAGAGTGTGCTAATYGAAAACATGTTGGCCACCAAGCTGTCCCGCCCTCTCCTGAGCTTCTCTGTAAAAGCCCTGAATTTCAAGGACCCAGGGAATGGCTTTAGGTAAGTAACTTGATAGAAAAGAAGAAGGAATGACATTTTGCACAAAGCACAAGTCACAGACTCACTTGRTTTCAGTGGGACAGTTTATTTACAGAGTCACAAGGTGGCTGAGGTTGGAAGGGACTTCTGAAGGTCATGTGGTCCCGTGCTGAAGCAGGGCCTCCTTGAGCTGGTTGCCCAGAACGTGCCAGGTGGCTTTTGAGTATCTCCAGGTGGCTTTTGAGTATCTCCAAGGATGGATACTCTAGAACTTGTCTGGACAACCTGTGCCAGGGATCAGTCACTGAGCTGAGCACAGCGGAGATGGACTCTCTATGCAAGGAGGGGTTGGCAACATGTTGTTTTTTTTTTTGGACTGCAGTCAAAAAAGGTGTGGAGTAGAGCATTAATTAAGTGTCCAGCAAGGATTTATTTTTTAATATCAGCAAGTAGGCCCTGCWTCAGTGCGAAAAGCTGTCACCTATTTCTGTGACTTCAGGGAAGAGGCAATGAGAAAGTTAAGAGGGAAGGTTCTGGTGAGAAGTGGAGGTGGGCTGAGTAGTTAAGCTGTTTTTTTTCTGCAAATGAACACAAAATTCTGTTTTATAGTTATTAATATCTAGTTCTAATTTCTMATTTAATGTCTATTTCTAATTTCTAGCTCTGAAAAATATCCAACGTTTATATTGCTATGTGATTGGAACCCTACTAATCCAAATTTAGAGCAAGTTGAGTGCTTTCCCGGCCTTTGCTTTAGAGTGGGGKCCCCAAACAACAGCGTACCACAAATTGTACATAAGCAATTTAAAAGTGGCCCATGGCCTATTAAACAAGAACTGCCACCTCCAKTGTTGTCCTACTGCTGCTGATAGTGATGTCCAGCATCATCACGGTCAAGGGTGGCTCTGGGAGCAGGGTGTTGCAGATAGCTAAACTGTTAGAGATTTCCTGTGCAAACAGACATAGGTCTTTATCTCCTATTTGCTCCACATACACCAGAGTTCACCCGCAGGAATCTGCTGTGGCCTTAAAAATATGAATTAATGTTTTATTAACTTGAGGAAAAAAATTTCAGCATATTCTTGTTTTTTTTTCTTCCGTCTTCTGTTTTGCTTACTGTGTATTTGTGCTTTGTGTGTCTTGTACTCAGGACAGAATTGTGTTGCATCTGCAAGTCCCCACAAGTTGCTAAACTTGCAGTGGAAATCCAACTGTTCGTTGAAAGGCAGTGCTGTCACTATACCAGTGTCTTAAAGCACTGAAACAGCATTTGTGTACTTGATTCTTCAAGCTGAGGACTTCTGTTTTTGGTGGAACTGAACAAAAGCCAGTGCATGGTTACAAGCACAGATTCCGTTTGAGGACCATCTGTGCATTCTAAAAGTCTCTGTTGTGGTCTCTGGAATTCAGTGATGCAGAATGACAAAAATGGCTCGTGGTACATTAGTGTACCATGTGGGGACTCACATTGCTTCCTGGCTGTCTTCTGCTGATGACATTGCTGCTCAGCAGCAGCCAGTATCTTTTTTTGTTTTTGCCCTTGCCTTTAGGTCAAGGTAGGCAAAATGTCAAGTAGGTATTCTCTACAGATTATTTTGAATTGAGGGCAGCAAATCAGTGCTCTGCAGTGAAATAACAGGACCAAACATGACATTAAAAAAATGAAAACCAAGTTCATGCAACTCAAAGAAGTGTTACAAACATTTCTGGGCACTTTAGGACTCAWTGAGAAGCTTACTGTTTAGGCAAAAGTGTTAATGCAGGATTGCAGATCAGTAATGTTAACACACACTTTGCGTGGAGACTGACCTTTGCAGTAATTGGGTTGGCTGGAGCTGTTTCAAGAGCTGATTTGGCTTGTGTGACACTTTAAGTTAGAAAAACAGCTAAACTGTTTCAGTAAGGGAAATGAGCACCATTGCCTGAATATAATTAATCTCCTTTTCCATCTGGTTTGAAGCTTCTGCCTTCACAGAACCCTTTTCTAGCCTTGATTTCCCAAGATACAACTCAGAGGCYGGAGGGTCTTCAGGCTGCTGTGCAGTGTAGCACAGGTCACCCTAGAGAGCGCCTGTGATGTCTGAGCTGGAGAGAATTGTGAATGATTATGCAAATTCACTTAGAAGATGGAAAAGCAGCCTGGAAGATAAGCTGTGGGAAGGATAGATGCTGTTAGAGGAGCCAGAGGGTAGATGAAGTACAGCAAATGTAAGGGAAGGCCAAAAGGCTCCCGGTGGGCAATGTCAGTGCCCAGGGTAAAAATGAAAAAGCTACTGAAGTCCAGAGAGGGACTGACAAGTACAGAGCTTGGGGTCACTCTGATTTGTTGTTCAGGCCCAGTTTTTGATGAATGATGGCAAGACTTAAGGACAAAGTGATGCTGCTGGGTAATGTAGATTTTCTAAATGGAATCTCACTCCCTGGAAGGCATTGTTGCTTTGCTCTGGTCTGTCTTTGTGAACRTGTTTTGTCTTCTGGGAGTCAGACATACTATGCGGAGGAGCTTCAGATCTGCATGGCAAGTATTGCTCAAAGACAGTGTTTCTTAGCTTAAACAGTTGCAAAAAGGGGAAGTAAAATCTAAGAGTATCTAATGGGTAAACACTGCAGGGGCAGAAGTGTCATCCAGGATAAAATAAGGATGGCGCTGTGTATAAAGGGACTGAGACAAATGCAAGCAGGTTCAGCTTCAGGCTGGGWATCAGAGACAGCCACAGCAGAATACTTTCATTGGACAAATGAATAACTTCCCATACCTCAGCTTTGTGCAACACTTAAGTGACAGCGTTGTTGCTTTTGAAAATGCAAACATGCACTGCCCATTTTGTGGGTGGAAGCAGCTCTGTGCCTCCAGACCAGGAGCTATTTTAGAATTCTTTGTAATACCCAGACAGCTTCTGCAGCTAGAAATAGCATCAAGGTCTTTTAGGAAACAAATGTTTCATACTGTAGAAAGCACGCAGGCTCAGACTAAGGAGAACTGTAGACTAGATTATGTCTTCCCAAATGAAAGTCTACATCATGTGAGCAGGCAGCACTGCATTCCTTTCCATGTGTATGTTGCTGCAGCAGGGTATGAACAAGATATTCCACATCTGACTGTTTTGTTGTTTGGGCTTTTTTAACAGGCCTGTGCAAAGATTTTCCTTCCCGCTCTTGTCCCCATGTGGCAGCCGCTCYTATGCAAATGAAGTTGATCAGGTGAGTGTGACTGTAGCTTCCAGGAACTAGTTCTGCTGAGCTGGAGTTTTAAAATCCCTGAAGCCTCATCTTTCCGATTTGCCYGAAAGACTCCAAGCTGGACCTCTCGAACATGCTCCACATTCTTTCCTAGCATCGAGCTTCCATTGACGTAGCACGGTATGTGCTGCTAAGGATGGAAATAAACAATCATACTCGTGGATTTTTTCTATTTTTGGAACTCACTCAACAGATGAAATGTTCCACCTTAGAGTGGAGGGAATCTKCATGACAAATTCTTAATCAAGCACTCTTTCTGGAGTATGGTTGTTTGAAGACATGTAAATAAATCAGTGTGCCCTCATCACTTGCCCTGGAGAGTGGCCCTATTTAGCTGCCCTCTCCTTGAAGATGCTGACTTGCCAGGATCAGTGCCAGGGAAAAGGAAGGGGATGTTCTGTCATCTTGCCTGTCTTATGGCACAGAACTCAGCACTGCAGCAGTGCTAGAGCATGCACAGCTTGCTCCATAACTCTGGAAGAGACTTTTGGAGGARCTCACATGATCCTTGCATCACTGCTGGGCTTCCAATGCGAGTGGCCTTTGCAACTTCCACCCTGATTCCACCCAGCTTCCACCCTGGTTCCACCCAGCTTCCACCCTGATCAGTACTTGCGTGTGCTGGGGAAAGCCAAATTTATAATTTGTTAAAAGAGATGAGTTGGAGGCAATTATTAGCTAATTCCACCCACAGCAGCACCGTGGATGTGCAGTTGTTGCTGTTGGACTGTCTGATGCACCATGCAATTTTTAGCTTGTTATTTAACTGCTGCCTGTCTTTGGGTTAGAAAAAAGGAATTTGGAGAGGGAAGAAGGTGTACTTGCATTTAAATTGTAAGTTGGGGAAAAACACCTAGCCAGAGTGATGAGCAACTGGTCTTAATTTCATATATTAACTCCATTTGATTCTACTTAGGTTTTGAATGCAGCTCTAGCGGGTTTAAGTGCTAGAGAGAGAAAGATGTCAGTAAGGTTAACCCATATCCTTTCTCCAGTTAAACTGTCTTCTCCATGCCCTGTGGGCTGCATGGCATGGACTCTTGCCTGTTTTGGATATACAGGAGCAGCTCCTGAAGAAGGAAGTCTTGGGAACTTTTCAGATTTCAAGATGGATATGARCTGCCAAGAGAATGGTGGTTTGCTTGGTCTGTTTGTCTTGGAATCCCGTTGCCAAAGGTGCTGAGYTCCTCTTTGTGTTGGGAGGACAGTGATCCTGCCTCACTGGAGTGAACTCAGTATGAAACTGTCATTTCTTATGTTCAGGAGGCACTGGGTGGCTGTAGCTGACAGTGAGGGTAGAGAACACCACTGGAACAGACTGCTCCTTGCCAATGACGTGATTTTTTTTCTGTGTACTTCAAAACACTGATTTCAAATACTCAATTCCAGTGCATTTTGTTCCGTTTTGTTTTGCAGATTGGCAGCAGAGCTGTGCTTATAACAGGCTGTGACTCAGGGTTTGGATTTGCCTTGGCCAAGCACCTGCATGACAAAGGTTTCATTATTTATGCTGGCTGCCTGCAAAAGGTAGGGAAAACAAAAACTRTTCTTCACCTGTGGCATGTACACTGGCACATAGCAAATCCAGTCTTCCCCCTCCACTCTKCACTGCTTTCTGCCAAGGAGAGGAAGGGTGGTTGGTCACCCAAAGGGAAAGACACAGGTTCTTCAATTTCACAGAGCAGAACCAGGACCGAACAGTATGTAGGGAGGTTCTTATTTAAATCTCAACATTGTGATGGGGTCTGTTCCATGTCTCATGAACTGGAGCTCCAAATCTAATTTTATAGGCTTAACCATAAGCAAAGTTTGAGGTCGGGCTAGGTCTGGACCTTTGGCCTTGCTCTCAGACTGTATATATTTATGCAGGGCTTATTCTGATTAATCTTGACATACACCAAGCCACCAGAGATTTTACAGCATGTGGTATGAGCATATTTTTCTATATTCATGAGAAGAGCCAGGTCATGGTGTGTTTTTGGGGTCTTCTGGAGTAGTTGGGTAGGTGATAGAGTCCCACKAGTGCAAATGAGAGAAGAATCAGGCAGCAAACAGCTTAGTGACACAGCCTTGATATGCTCTGAAGGAGAACTTGGTGTGATATAGCATTGTTGGTCATGAAGAACAGGGGAGACTTTTAGCCTCTCTCTCTTCTGAAGCAGGTTTTCTAGCTGCACAGCCTAAAAGAAACAAACTTATTCCTCAGGATATCCTGGGGTGGGTTATCAGTTATTTAGATCTAATCTTTTAGCTTACTCATAACTGTAAATGTATCTCRAATAGTGATAMTATTTAAAGGGAATTTTCYAGKTATTATTTAATGTTATCAGTMCTCTTTCTACTRTTAMCTTTTTGCATTATTACTGTATTTTGCTYWAATTAGTAGTTTGTTTCTGCTGCATTTTTTCAARAAGTGTTTGTYTCCATAGCTCTGTGCCTTGTKGTGTCTTAGTGTTGGGTCAAGGATTTATTTTTTAACCAGGGCTCCCTCTACAGGTGTCACAGCAGAACAGGACACTTGATAAAATCTGCTGCCTTTCAAAAGGGTTCAAGAGAAAGGGAAGATTAATGCTTTTTTGATRGATATTTCTACTGAGCTTTTGTAACTGAAGATCTACATTGGAGAATGAGGCCAACCCCATGTGATATCTAAAGCTTGGTGTCTGAAGGGAACACTCACTTGGGGGACACTGGGCTCRGACTGGACAAGCACCATCTCACTGACAACTGCCTGCTGGCAGCTGACATGGAACACCTGTGGCTTAAGGTGTTCAGAGCAATCTAATGTCATTCAGCAGTCAGAAAACAGGCCTGCCATGAAGTACTGGCCTGTTTCAGCTCAGAGGAAAAAAAAGCTGTCTATCCAAACACCCTTATTTGCCCTCTGATGCTTGCTTGCAGATTCTGACACAGTGAATGAGGCTACCTGGAAGGTTGATCAGTGGGGGAACTCTCAGATGATTCTGTGGAAACACTCCATGTTAATGGAGTGTAATGGACTTCTAATGAGGGATGATACTGAAGGAGCTTCTTACAATAAACGCATATGTTCCCAAAACCTGATCATTTGCAGAGCTAGATCTCACCATCCTTTACAAAAGTACTCTGGAGTGACCAGCACAGTCCAGTGGCTTATACATGGCAATGATTCAGGTATAGTCCCAGTCTCATCCTAGTGCATCTTGTGTCTGTGTCCTGGAAGCACCATGGCCAGGCTTCACCGCTGAAGGGGTGAGCCTCTGGGCATGGCAGACTTGCTGCCAGCAGTGTCTGGCCCATGTGAAAGTGTCTCAGAGGTTGGCTGCAGTTAATTTGCTGGGCTATGAGGGAATATGTGTATATTAGAGGACACTGTTGTTCTGAACTGTTCTGAGGAAAAAGAAGTGGAGATGGGAAATGAGAGTGAGAAAAAGTGGATAGGGGGAGGCAGAGAAGCAAGGAAGATGCTGAAGAAGATGCCAGAGTGAATTGCTAGCAAACAGGCTGGCCAGGCTCTTGATGATCAGACTCTGTAGCAGTCCTTTGGAGGCAGTATTTGGGTTTCCAGGTAGTGGGAGCCACGTGTGGAGATCAGCTGAAGGAAGAGAGCTCCCTCTTCTCGGGCTGCTGCACACAGAGCTGGCAGTGTGGCCAACCAGCACATGCAATGGTGGGCAGCCCCTCACAGGCCATTTTACACCATGCCCTCCAGGTGAGTTGCTGTGCCCCTTGTCAAGTCAAAGTGAGGATGGCACCACGTTCCCATCACTGCAGCAGTAGGACATAGCTTGGCCTCAGGAGCTTGTACTGGGCAGTGGTGTTTGCTGGGTGCCTTGCTGGGGCAGTTCCAGCTCTGGCCTCTTTCTTGGTGGTTGAAGCAGTTTGTACCACCTGACTTGGTGCAGGGCTTATGGTCAGATGGARATACTTAAGGAATGGTGTTCTGCAGGACCAGCACTGTCTTCTCCCCTTCCTTTCAGAGCTAGAGGACTGTCCTGATTATTCTGTGACTGCCCTGTGCATTTTTTTCCTTGCTTTGGTGGTTGCCATGCTTTTGATATTGTGCACAGGCTCTTTGGCCAGATTCAGACCAGCACTTTCTTTCCCTCTAGGACAAAGGAGAGGGYGGCTCCAAGGAGCTGGATGACATGAAGAGTGATCGGATGAGAACTGTCCAACTCAACGTCTGTGACAGCAAAGAAATGGACCGGGCAGTGGAGCACGTGCAAAACAGCCTYGAGGACCCAGAGAAAGGTGGGTGCATGCAATGGGCTCTGAGGTGACAGAGGGGACAGGAGCTCCCTCAGCTGGGCTGTGAGAGCATTGTCAGGGCATATTTCAAAAACTGAGTATGTGATTGAAGGACACAAATCTTTAAGGAGCAGCAATGCAGAGCTGTTTGAATATTGTGCCATATCAGAAAGGAGCTTGCAACTTTATACAATGTCTACAAAGGAAACTGCTTTGTTCTTCACTAGCTCCTGTAGGGACATTGGCAGAAACCAAAGTGGTGCTCAAGGCTCAGGGACTAGCGCTTTGTTCCTGTGAACTAAAGCCCTTTCTGTCATAYACAATTAGAATATTACATGAAATGCGTTCATTTTATTTAAAAATCCTTTTTAATCTTTTATTGCCAAATGATTAGTTAGATTGAGTTGTGGCAATTTAGGTTGCCGCGGAAAAAAAGGGAGAGGCCATGGCATGCATGCTCACCCATGCCTACATTCTCCTTCCCAGCACTACAGAYACCCTTGTTCTTATGGTGACAGAAGGGATTTCACTTTGAAAGAATTACTCTTTTGTTTYTTACAAGGTCATTCCTTTTCTTATCATTTGCATTACATATTTTTCTTTTGAAAAATCATGTTGAATAAAAAAAAAGAGTGACAACAGTTTAGACAAGACTGAAGTTCTCTGTTTGYTGGCTCAGAATTTCCTGGGAAGCCTCATTCACAGTGCTTTGTGGCTGCAGTGTTGGGAAGGAGATTGTAGGAATGCGTAAGCATGCATGATCCCCACGGTTGTTATATTTGCTCAGGAGACTGAAGTGTGCTCTGAACTCTCTTCTCTCTGGCCTTCACCATCACAGGTCATAACAAAAAGCTGTGCTATGTGGTTCAGTAATCTATTAGCACAGCTAATGGTGCTTGGTTTTGTCTTGCAGGGCTCTGGGGGCTGGTGAACAATGCTGGGATCTCCACATTTGGGGAAGTTGAATTCACCAGYATGGACACCTACATGGAGGTAGCTGAGGTGAACCTGTGGGGGACTGTGCGAACCACCAAAGCTTTCCTCCCGCTCATCCGGAGGTCAAAGGGTGAGTGACATGTCCCCTGACTGGCTCTCCCTGGAGCAGGTCCCTCATCCCGCTGCCTCTTGCTGTGTTAGAGGCCAGAAGGTCTGTGGCACTTCTCTCCACACCATCAGCCACCTCCCTACCTTTACAGACATACTGTGCCTCCCACCAGACACGGATTGCTTCACTGCTTTGAGTTACACAGAAAGGCAGCAGGCCTGAAAACCAGTTATTATTTCTCTTTCCCATCTCTGCTGCCTTCTCCTGCAACATCCCACACAAGATCTAATCTTCTTTTACCTGTTCAGAAGCTGCAGTTCACAATAAATTACAGTGCCAGGAGCATTCCTCCCTGCTGTATAAAAACCAGCTGTGGCAGGGTGAGCAGCAGCAGTGTAAAAAGCYTCTTGCAGAGAAGTTGTCGTTTTGCACTGTCATTCTGGGAGCCTGTGGTGTGGGAGAAGAGGGGGTTGTGCAATGAAAACGTGCAGACCTAGAGCTAGCATGGGTCTTAGGATGAAGGGGCAAAAGGTTCCCTGTGCTAGGGCCTACTACCTAACTAAATTAGAGTATTTCTCATGCTTGAAGCATCCACAGGYACCAATAATGTTGCCCTGTGCTGCAGACATGGGCTGGATGTGGCCTGGGCAGCCCTTCTTCCACCACGAAAGGTTATCCATTTCTGAGGTCAAAGTTTCTCTTTCTAACACCACTTAGTAATGAGTAAGGATAGTAAATATGGAGAACTACAACCTCTGCCTAAGCCATGGCATCCACAGCCTCTTACTGGCTTTTTCCTCAGCCCAAATGGATGGCTTCTTGAGGAAGAAAAGGTGCCAGCTCTATGCCAGGCGCCATAATGCAGTTGTCACACGGTAAAGGGTGCAGCAGACGTCAACTGCTCTGCCCATTGGTGGTGCAGGAGCAATCYATTCCCTTTTGAGAAGCAGACACTTTGAGCCATCACTGGGCTGCTTAATTTTGTGCTTTTGATTTGCAAATAAACGAGCTCAGCTTTGGTGCCAGAGGCTTTCTTTGCTCCTGCTTTCATTTGCCTGGGCTCAGTCCAAATTGTYACTGAGCAATCTTGTTTCCCACCATGCAGGCTCTGTTCAGCCTCTCCTGTGTTCCCCATATCACTGAGCTTTCTGTGTCACCATGTGCCTGTTGTCTCAGGTATAATAAGCCAAGGAGCACAAGCAGTGGTCTTGTTGTCCTGCCTGAAGGCAGCACTGCTCAGGTAGAGCCATGAGCAGGTCGGCCAGGCAGCCCTCATGGCTGTGCAGTGSGAGGGTGGGTGGGTGCACATTCAGGAATGTGTTGGGTGCTGTGTGCCAGGTACCTGCTCTGGGTCAGGTACACGGCTCAGCTGTGCTCTGTCTGGTCTCTGCCTAGGTCGTGTGGTGAACATCAGCAGCATGATGGGGCGGATGGGCAGCCCTGCCAGGTCACCCTACTGCATCACCAAGTTTGGTGTGGAAGCCTTCTCCGACTGCCTGCGCTAYGAGATGCAGCCCCAGGGAGTCATGGTCAGCATCGTGGAGCCCGGCAACTTCATCGCCGGCACCAACCTGTACAGCCCCGAGCGGATCAAAGCCATCGCYGACAAAATGTGGGACGAGCTCCCCGAGATCGTGCGCAAGGACTACGGCCGCAAGTACTTCGACGAGCAGGTCAGCAAGATGGAGTCGTACTGCAACAGCGGCTCGAGGGACACGTCGCCGGTGATCGAGAGCGTGGCACACGCGCTCACCGCCACGGCCCCCTACACCCGCTACCACCCCATGGATTACTACTGGTGGCTGCGCATGCAGATCATGACCCACATGCCCGCTGCCATCGCAGACCGGCTCTACGTCTACTGAGGCCTCACACTCATAAGCTACCCAGGTGGGAAATATGTTTTAAAGAGAGCTTTGTACACACTTCCCATTAGTCCTTTTTAAATTTTTCTAACCTCATTTCAGAGTACTGTATTTTAGCTCTAAAGGGTTCATTTAAGTATCTGACTTATCCTAAAGGGCAGTAATTTGCAAGGAATGTTTCATAGGCAGGAATATGTTATGTTTGTGCAGGGACAGTGATTATTTTGCTATTTATTTCATGTAGTCCTTTCTTTTTTTCACCTCAAATATGAAGCTATAATCATTATTTAAACTGCAATTGCTCTGAAGTGTTTTCAGAATAATTTCTGCTGATGGCCGAACACAATCTTCACAATTCCTGCCTAGGATTCAGCCTTCACACCCTCCATTCTAAAAAAGAATCCCTCCATGCTCTAATGCAAACCACTGCTTCCTCATGACAAAGAATGTCCGACTGACTTTTCCAGGCCTGGTCACAGTAGCCCAAGGCAGAGAAGAGACTTTTTTAATTTGGGGATCAGAACACAAAATGCTCAAGGTGCTGAAACTGAGCAACTGACCCCATCCCTTTCTCTCTTAGAATTATACTGATGAAACACTAGAGAAAAGGAACCGGTCTGCTTTTCCCACACGTTTTTTTTGCAAAGGAGTTGAATGATCCAGGGACTCAACCTTGCAGACTTTCCCCGCAGGAGTTTCTTACTCGTATGAGCATTCCCATGACTGTGAGCAGCTTTACGCACAGGACTGCAGGTGTCAGGATTGGCCTGCAGTGACATTTCMCTTCTCTTCACCGGTAACTGAGCGTGAACTCCAGAGCTAGCTTGGRGAGGAGTTTCACTCAAGCTCCTGTGGTTTGTGAGAAGCACTGCAGAGCAGGTGGAGCACAGAGGGTTATAGTCACATCAGTAAATACCCTTCTTGCCAGGGACCTCATTTACAGCCAAGTATTCTTACAGCACCTTGCACAGAAGGGCCTTAACCCTGACCAGGCCTCCAGCACTGCAGCACGGGTGATGATAACAATAATAACTTCCATTGAAGGAGTCACTGAGCTGAAATACATGCAACATAACATAGATCTATCAGAACATCCATAACAATAAAGTTAACTTTAGGAGCTCATTTCCATGATGGTTGTTTACATATCTGAGAAACATTTGTTTTGTACTTTAAGAAAAGAAAAGGAAAAAAAAAAAGAGCCTTTCATGGGGAATTCAGGAAGAGTAAATTTTTTAAGCTTGAAAGGCAAAAATAAAAAGTAATCAGTAACCATTGTTAGTGAAGTTAAAAAGAAAAGATCTCATGTGCTCTAGTAACATACTGTGACATGATCAAACTCCTTTGGCTTAATAAATGTATACATGAATGGTAACAAAATTCAGAGGCTCCCTCTCTTTATTTTTGAAGTATAAAAGGTGAAGGCTCATTCTGTAGTGGTGAGGTTCATGCCTGTTACACACACATCATTCAGAGGCTCATCTGCAGTGTTGAGCCTTACATGTCAGTACTGGATAGTGTAATACTTTTGTAGGACTATTCATGAAAGTACCAGCTGTGTCCTCCATCTCGTGACAGAAATGCCTAACCCCTGGACTCTGTGTAGTCACAGCTCTTAAAACCTGCGTTTGTAGTGGACTCTTGCAGATTACAAAGGATTATTATGGATTATTCCTAAGGGATCAGGAAGGGAAACTGAGCTCTGAAGAGGGGAGGATTGTGGCAGTGATTCAGCAGGGTAGCACACAACAGGTCAYTGACAGATCCCAAATAAATCCCCACAAGAGATTTGCTTGTTTCCAGACTTTGCTGATTTTCTCCAGAATCCCAGCAGCGGTAGCTGCATCTTGAGTGCAGGGCGTATTGCCTTGTTTTCCAACACATGGACTCTTCTCTGGGACAAAACACGAGTATGAACTACCCCACAGGCRCCAAGACTGAATTTTAAAGCAGAGCAAAACACCTGGATAACAATATGGCAGGTGACACAACAGAGAGAGAAAAGCCTTTACAAGGGTAGTTCTTGCAGTCTAAAATTTGGTTCTTGAGATGCTAAGTAGCATAAAAAAATCATGTAATTCCTCCTGGGATGCTACCTCCCAATTTTACTTTTGTGTTTTAATAGAGACATCAGTGAAGTTAGATATGGAGGAAACTGGATGCACAGCCAAGTTCTCTCAGTTTAGCTCAGAGACCCCTGAGACCAAATGTAGCAGGTGTTCAACAGACAGTGTACATTCCCAGCCAGAGGCATAAAGCTGAGCAGGGATAATTGCACTGATACCTACATGGCATCTCTGGAGGCTCCTGAACGCTGCCATCAGGTGTCCCCAGGGAGCTCTGAAGCTGTGACCCCACACCAGGGCCAGAGCAGGTGTGACAATTCCACTGCCCTGCAGTGCAAGTCACAAGCTGTGTGGTTTCATATGATGGGGAGGCAATGGCTGGAGTGCCCCTGTGCATCCACAGCTGTTGCAATGTTTCTGTGTGAGGTTTCCTGATGCTGGGAGAGTTTGGGAGCAGATTTGTGGTCAGGAGGGCAGCAAGCTGGCTACTTCTGCTGGGATCTTGGCAATCCCCTGATTTCAGGGTTTGCCCTGAGAAGCGCATTAAAAGCTAATCCCCTCTGGATTTTCAWGACTGTCCTTTTGACTCAGAGCACTCTGGTCCTGCCTGCATGGTGCCACTGCTGCTCCTGGAATAGCTTCAGCTCAAGTTTATTTGAGAACTGAAAAGAACAAAAGAATAGCAAAGAGGACTTGGCCAGGCAGCTCCTCTGCTTCTGCTTCCTCAGGAGGAGCTGGGRAAGCTGGAGGGATCAGTTTGCAGGGGTGCCCACACCTGGGTTCCAGTCACATCCCAGCAGGCTGGAGGAAGGGCGCTCCCCAAATTTCTTGATGAAGACCCTTGGTGATGATGCAACAGATCTCACTATGCAGCATCCCTTAGGCAACCTGGAGTTAAAAATAACTTTCCCTTGGTGGTGGGAAGTAGTAGAGATGGAGTAATTTTAACTACAGCTGTTACRTCTTGTTCTGAGCCTTAATGTGAAAATCATGAAGTCCTACCCACTTCAGAACTTTTTCCTCCCAATGATGAAGGTGGTTAGTACCAGCATTTAGTGACTCCTTACTGCCACATTGTCAGGATGAAGTGCAGGGATTTCCTGCTCTGGAAAATGGAAAGAGGAAAGGACCAGTCMTGTTCAGGCACTGTTAAACAGCACAGCACAAGGTGTCTTCCCCAGCTGAATTAAACACAACAATTAAATAGGTCCTCAATTAAACATAAAAGTGGCTCAGTTGCTGAACTACAAAGTCAAATCCATGTCTGTTCTGAGGCTGGACTGAAGCCAAGGGGGCCTTGCTGCAAAGTGTACATGCAGCTGCTGGCACTTCAGGGACTGTGGCTCTGAAAAGAAAGTATCTTTCCAGAAAACAAGATAAGCATAACTCACAGATCTGACACTCCCCTGGGGAGGTACCACTTGGGAACACTGCATCGGTTTCTCTCCCCTCTTTCCCAACAGTGATGCAGGGCTTGCTCTGCTGCCTTGGGGTGCTGTGGACTTAAACTGGTGCTTCATGTGAGATAAAGGGCTGGCCTGGTACCACCAAAGCAGCAAGCAGGGAATTCTTCCTCACTGAGCAYGAGTGCAGGAAGCAGGAGAGCCTGTGCACCTGTGACACGGCTGGCAGGTGGCACTGGCAGTGCCACCCTTTGCTCATCACCACCCATCACCTGAGCATYGCAACCCTCGCTGGATGGGGGTGAAAGGGGTGCTGTGAATATGCTCCAATGCCAGCAGTCAGATGGGGCAGCATCCCTCTGCTCTGGAGGGATGGACTGCCTGGAGCAGTCACAGCACTGCCCCTGCCAACAGTGAGAGTGGTGATGGCAAACGGGGATGCCAGCTCGGCCTGTGTTTCTGGGGGCTTCCACCTCCATCATAGACGTGCAGTGGCACAGGTGCCATCCTGCAGCTCTCCTGCAACCAGATGGGGAGAGTGGAGGTAGTTGCCTACCATCTTCTGCCTTCCAAAGGATCCCAGGAACTTCTGGTCTGTCTGAAAATCACAAATCAGGCTGTTCTGCTTCCAGAGCCAGCAGGCAGCTCCCTGCGGTCTGTGGGGAGTGTTGGGGTGAGGTGTCTGGCTAAGATGTAGGTTGTTATCTTTAAGTAATTTTTGCTAACATAGTGTTTTGTTTGTGGTTATTTGAAGATGCCTTTTGTCAGCATCTGCCTCTGTTCACATGTGAGTATTTTTGACTTTCTGGGGCTCTGCCACCATAATGAACTGGAAGGGGGAGTGGACCTGGCTACAGCCTCCTCCAGTCATCCCCTCCCTCCCTTCCCTAGCACAAGGTTGTGCAATTATTTGTGTGATGTGGGACATCTTTAGCAGAAAAGCTTGGGAGACCTGTCCTCACCACCCACATGAGTCCTGGGGAAACAGAGCTCTCCCAAAGCGGGGGTGCTCTGGTTTCTCAGCCGTGCAGCAAGCAGGTCAGCCCACCCACAAACTAGTTGGGATCTGTGGTGCTGAGGAGCTGTGGCCTGGGAATTGCAGCCTCTCTGCAGCCACCCCAGACAGGTGCAGGCCTTGGCAGGGCCTTTGGGCTGTTCTCCCTTTGCTTGTCTGACAGGCTTCAGTGTGCGGGTCCCTGGAGTGTTTGCTCCCCTCACTGCTCACCTCTCCCACAGCAAACGGAGCACTGAAGAGAAGTCTTGTCTTTCCCAACAGTCTAGTCCCATGAGTTTAATCTTCTGTGTCCCAAGAGGATATAGAAAACTAAAATCCCCTTCTGGCCTTGTGCAGGCATTCATCCTTGAGCACAACCTTACTTTATTTTCCAGCCAGAACTGCAAGTTGGGAAGCAACTGGAGCCTGCTCGCCTCCTCTCTGAATACCCACACAGCAAACYCCCAAAAAGCTCCTTGCTGGAGCTGGGGATGAAAGTGTAAATGTTGCCATCCTGGTTTCTTCCCCTGCAGTGAATGTCAGAGCAGTAGCCTAAAAATGCAGTAATATCCGGAGTGATCACTGGTGGTATTTCTGACTTTGCCTGGAGCAGGATGAACCATARATCTTGTG